TATAACGTGAAATGTAAAATACAACTCACCTGATTTCTTCCCTCCATAAAAATGTGTGTACTCACTACAAGTGATGTACCTATAAGAGTGATAAAACACACACAAATAAGAGGAACGACAATGAAGAAACCTTAAATAAAGCTAAAGTAACGTTAATCTTAATGTTAATGTTAATGTTAGATAGTTGCTTTAGTGGAGCCACGTTAGCCACGTTAGCTCGTTAGCAAACAGTCAGCTAAGCTAACGACAACAACAGAGTTTAAGTGTTGCGGTGTGTTCAGGAGAAGTTTATACATACATTTTATCTTTTTGGTGCTGTCGCTTCCCCATTTTGAGTTTTTGTGGAGGTCTGAAAGATGAATTTTAATAATACGACACTTTACTGAAACCTGTTCGCTTTAGTGGCTTCCTGTTTATGTTCTTGGTCGTCGTCGTTATAAACGGCGTAGAGCTCATATTACGGGCCTCTGGCGCCCCCAGCTGGAAGAATGGGTGAAAACACTTCTTACACATTATTGTCTTAAATACAGGGTGAATATATATTATGTATAAAGTTTTATTTTAAACTACCCCAACACTTTTAAGTGAATAAACCCAAACACTAGCACTAGCATGGAGCCACTGATCCAAAACTGAATCAAATAACAGATTTCTTGTGTCTCCCTGGCTTTGCTTTCTGAAAAGATTATTTAAAAAAATACTACTGAACACACATTCAGCCATGCTATAATTAATGTTTTTTTTTTTTGTGACTATTCCTTAAACTGAGTGCCATGGATTTGTTTCCTCTTCATCCAAACCCCCAAAAATATTATATTATAATTATATATATATTACCTCCACCTTCCCAGGATCTTTCCTCGAGTATTAGAACTATTCAGAACTTTTGCATCTGTCACTGTGTTAATGCTCTTACCTACCATGTTACTTACATGACACTAGACAAACATGACAAACAAAACAATACAGAAAAAATGTACCTGTAATGAGTTTATTTTATCTTGGCATTGGATTCATTTTAGGTACTCGCACAATTAGAGCTAATCATTTACTTTTTGTATCAAGAGCAAACAAAAATGGTTAGAGGCATGAACCATGGTCAGGTGGTTAGTAATGTGTAGTAATGTGTAGCAGAAGGTACATTCATATTGCCTCTTGCACGCATGTCCTCTGAAGCATGGACACATTATACAGCCACTACCAACCCCTTTCCACACACACACACACACACACACACACCCACACACACACACGAAGAATAGGGAAATAAAAAAAAAGTAAAAGGTTTATCCATCATAGGTAGGAATTCAACTTCAAACAAAACCCTTTATAGATAAAGGATACTGTGGATTGATAGTGTTTGTATATAAAAATATAATACAGGACAGCAACAGCAACACTGCCTGCATACCTGAGTTATAACTGGCTTTCCTTTCTCGCTTCAATCATAGCACTTCAACTGCTTATGAAGAAAACACGTCAGAAGAATAAAGACATGATTACAGACTATAGACTTCATGATGCACAATAAACAATTCCAACACCTGTTCGCGTCCATGGCACTTTATCTGTCAGGCAGAACTTATGATGCCAACAAAGGTTGGGTTTCTGGACACTTGTCTGACATTGACAAACATTGACAACCTTTTTATTAATGGCAAAAAACAAAAGTTGAATATTTAGGAGTTAGAATACATACTAACAAAAACAGAGGGGTTGAAGAGCCAGAGGTTTGCCAGTCCATAAAGCAGATATTAGTTGTGGAAAGTGCAATAATGTGTAGAATTTTTCTTAAAGAGCAAAACAAAACAAAACAAAAAACAAGTTCACAATGTTGTTCCCAACAACAATTGAAGTCCATATAAATGGTAAACTCGTAGCCGGCATTCACTCAGTTTCGTCCTGAAAGTGTTTTTTTTTTTTCAGTAAAATGTCTCCAGTTTGATAAAACTGTCTAAGTGTTCTGGTGAAAAAGGGGGAGGAAAATCACCGCAAATCCACCATGGACACAGTGTCATCGGTGATGGTGACATGTCCTGCGTGCTGAGAAGGAGAAACGGATTTAAGTTAGAGTCTGCTCATGTGGACAGATGAGAAAGCCACAATGCAGCAGTACTGCTAGCAGAAAATACATAATAAAAAAGAAAATATAGAAAAACAATAAAATACTACTTATCGGGTTGGTTTACACAAATTGCAATCAAAAATCTCTCAAGTGGTACAGTTCTAACATGCATAACATTTTTATTTTACGACTGTATACAGTAATTATTGGTGATCCCTTTTGCCCACATCTATAGTGTTTCTGCAAGAAGATCTGTCCACCCCCAAACTATATAATATGATTCAATTTCTGAAGTCTGTTAACTTTTTTAAGAAACAAATATGTATTTGCACATATGGCCTGACGGTGGAGGTGTACTCACTGTAAATAGAGGGGGTTCTTTGCTGTGAGGGTGAAAGCCTTTCTGTTTACATGTGGAGATCTCCTCTGTTCCTCGATCCGTCAACTTGAAGTAGCCAATTCTGGGCCAAACACAATCACACAAAGTCACTTTTAGTATAGAGAGATACACTGGCAGAAAAAAAACACACGCCACAATGGGAATGGGAGTCAGCTAATATTAACTCCCTCAGAAATCCCCCCCCCCACATCTTATGTTTATAATGAGAGGACAGTTATAATGAGAGGGTTTTCTGACTCACTCATTAAACTTAGGCGAGCAGACGATAGCAATGGCCTCTGGCATCATCATCTGGTAGGAGCAGTGTGTGTGGAGGTCGACGCTGGACAGGAAGGCCGTCTGTGTGGGATGAGTCTGGGGAACACAGCGGACAGACGTCAGGATAACACTACGTCAGGCAAAACATTTATTGGAACACATGTTTTTCAGAATAAACTTGCTTAGTACGTACTCCTGAGAATAAGGACACAGTTTCTGATTTTGTGGCTTTCACACTGCGGGAAGGTGATTGTTTGACTGCAGTGACCAGAATGTGCCCATCTTTACTCACATGTATCCAGCCCAGGGTGATGAGATCGTACTGGTCCTGTATGAGGAAGAGTTCCTCCTCATTTTCTGTGTCACAATAGTCCGGTCCGCCACACTGCTTTGGTACGATGACGTGGGTCACGGTAAATGCATTTCTGGTCTGGAACAAATACAACAAGCATCCTTTCAATTATGCAAAGCCATCATCTGCCAAAAAGCTATCCAAGGACTCTGACTAAAATTAACAGAGCACTGACCGGTTTGCATTCTGTCATGCTCATAAAAAAAATATTAAAAGAGCTTTGAGTAAACCCGACCAGAAAATGCTGGAATTTAAACAGAAGCCACAGCAGACCTGGGACAGTAGGAGATGTCTCTTTATGTTGTACCCCTCTGGGGTGAGAGGTCAGCTGTTTCATTTAAATTCTACAATTCCACATTCATTATTTTTTTTTTTTAAATCAGCTTAGGTTATGGAATTCAATGATGAAAACCTTATTTAGAAAACACGATGAAAGAACATTTTATTGAAATCTCATTTATACAAACTATTGATCGAAGGGCTTCGACACAGAGTCCCAGAGTCTTACCAGTTTGCCACACAGGATGCCACAAGTTTCTACAGCTCGGGTTGTGTTGGCCTCGGCCAACTTTAGAAAGCTTCGGCACAGCTCAGCAGGAACAGCCAACTGCCGAAGGGCATCCACCATTGTATCTGCAAAAAAACATGTAGAGGAATAAACAAAAGCTCAATTCTTGTGATGTTCTGAAACAAGGCATGGTGTAAACAGGAAATTAAGTAGGTCGAGGGGAAAGAAATCAGCTCAGAAGAATAAATACTTGAAAGCAGGAGTAGAGCAGTATTTAAATCCTCTGAAGGCCAGCCCCTCGTGTCAGAGAAAGATTAACTCACTGTTGTTCCCTGGGCTGACCAGAGACCCGGGCTTTAGTGACCGGTCAAAGCCGGGCAGGCCGGTGCCAGGTGCGCCGATGGTCGCAGGAGGGCGATTGTATTGGTGGTTGGTGCCGCCGGAAAGGTCTCCTGGGCTCTGCGGCGCGGTGGGGGACACAATCGAGGGACCCTGGATGCCTGGAATGAGGGGCGTGTCAGGAGCAGGTGTGGCGGGCGTGGCAAACTCCAGGAGCACTCGCTGCCGTTCCTTTTCTAGCTCCTGGCGCCGGATCATCTCCTCGAAGGCACTGAACTGCTCCTGCTCCCGCTGCCGCCGCTGCATCTCAGCCACACGTTCCCGCTCTGCGTCCAGTGCTCGCTGTTTGGACTGCTCCCGCGCCATGGCCTCCTCCTCCACTTTCTAAGCACACGGCAAACACATCACATACATCAGCAGGCGATCTCTTTTTTTTGTTTTTGACGGTGACTTACTCAGAACTTATGTAAGGTGTATGCTGATTTCGACTTAATAGCAGTTTCAGTAACAATAATCTAAACAAGGGCAGTGTCATTATTTTAGCATTTACTCTTGTTAAAACTCAAAGGCCTCCTTTTATTACAACCGCAGTGTGCAGCTGCAGTGTTACTGACAAACGTTTCACCCATTTTAAGGTTTACACATAGTCAAATCAGTGTACAGTACTTGTTGTAAATGTGTATCATGTATTTTTGTTTATTACGATATGTTAATATTAGTAATACATCCTAATGCCTTAACCTAAGTATGTTTGTTAAGTGTCAAAATGCATACTGTCACCTTGTATCTACATATTTGGTCTTTTCTTTTTCTGTCGGTTGGTTTTACAAATATTTAACCAAAGAAAAGTATGAAAACCAACAAGGGTTCTGTACGACAGTGACGATACATTCACATAGCAATTAATGCAGTTAATGTACATTTCAGTGTGTCAGGAGATGACGGTTTACCTTTTTGACAAGATACTGTGCATACTCTTGGTCAAATCTCCTCAAAAGAGCTTTTTTCAGAATCTCTGCTTGAGGAAATGCTACATCCTTCAGTTTCTGGAGAGAAAAGAAAAGTGTTTTAACATTTCCTCAAAAAACAACAAAAATCAATCATACGGGACAGAATAAATACTGTATGCGTACTTTTAGTGTGTCCTTCTTCTCAGGAATGTTAGCGGTCTTGTAATCCCGATGCTTGGGAAGTTTTTCTATAAAGAGCCTTGGTGAAAAGAAAACATAAATCTGGTTATTAATTGCTATTGACTAATAATTGAGTACACCTCCACTGAGAATGCGTATTCAAAACTGTGGCCTACAAACTGTACCTAATTCATCAGAGGTATGTAGAGTAACAGTAGAGGAGGACATGTTAAAGTCACTCTGTTTTTAAGTTATTTATTAGTCAACCTTGTTTAGGGCCAAAATTACTTCAGTCCAATCCTGAGAAAGATCTTTGTTTTTGTCTCCTTACATGTTTTTTCTCAACATGACATTTTAACCCACAAGAATGTATTGGTTTGTGTAATGAACTTCAAAGTGAAAATGACCAAACCAATTGCATGGAAGGACAAATTAATAAGTACTTAAATCAATGCACCAAATACAAACAAAGCTCAGTCAGTCCAGCCCATCGCTGTAAACACGTACGTGATATATTTATTGTAAAGGACGAAGGCGTGCTCAATGTTGCCCTCCTCTGTGTAGATGTTAGCCATGCGGATCATCTCCATGCCGGAGCGGAAGTAGCGGCGCGGGGGCACATCCTCGTTCACTTCCACTGAGCTTCCCTTCTTGGTCAGAGCGCGGACTCGCTCCTCCGGCTGCAGACTGATGTCATTGTGGTCCGCCATCATGACACAGCTCAAGCTGGAACGCTGGAAAGACAAGATGAAGATTTAATACAGTCAATTGAATGCTGTGGTGATAAATCTGAAGCAAACCATGAACACTGTACACACAGTTTGTGGTCTGACATCGTTTTCTTCCATTTTTAATGCTTCTCAAAGCTTAGGCTAAAGTGTTAAATTATTCCTTATAATAATAACAGCTTGTGTTTTTTTCTGTTGTGAACTAACATTTTCCTTCCATCATGTATCCCAAGCATCTTCCACCCAAGATCAAATCTCAACATGTAAGAGCAAGCGCTCTTACAACAACACAACATACTCTAGGGTGCTTACAGCTGGATTTTAGTTCATTTTAACAAATCATGCTGAAATCTTCATCTCAGACTTAATATGTGTATGCTGTGATGATCTGAAGACTTGAGCTTTATTATTCATTCTTAACTATGCATGTATGTATAAACTAGCACAAAGAGGCACAGTCTTTCTCAGTCTTCACACCCTGTAGTGAGGCCCAAACTCAGTCTGAAAATCATTGGCTGAGTATATTTAGAAGAAAGCCATGACTCTGCTGGGAGGATCTATTTTGTATGACTCGAGGTTTTCTACTCTTTATTGATCAAATGAAGACAAATGTGACTATTAGTCAGCACGCTTTATCAACGTCCTGACTAATAGTCAGGAGGCTTGCATTGATTCCTTCCATGATGGCTTCTTGGCTCGTCAGTACACAACACAGAACCACCGAGAGGACCAAGTGTAATCAGTGGGTGTGGCTCTGATAAGAGGAGAAAGGTGGATTAACTCAACGGCTGTTTAGTGTTGTTTACTTCCTTTGTATTGGTAAAGAAACTAATTTCAATATTATTCAAATGTCTTTAGCCTAAACTGTTGTACCATCAGTCTAGCCAACAAAATGATCAGTAATTGAACATCTATAGGACCATTTACAGGGGGAAAAAAAGGGTCAACAATGCTTTGTAAAATGTATTTTGTCAGTGCTATTTTACCTTATTCGACATTGTTCTGTTGTTCATTTAAAACACGATAAAGGTAGCATCAAGCATATTTTCTAAAAAGTTACCAAACTCTATCACAAATTACAACAGTTTATGACTAACAGGAAATGTAAATGTACTAATATGTACTCATAAGTACAATTTTGATGCACTGGTATTTTGCTTGTACTATATCTTATACTTTTACTTTACTACATTTCAGAGTGAAATATTGCTTTTTATTCTCATACATTTAACTGAAAGCTATAGTTAGTTGTCACTTTGAGGATCAAGATTTTAAATATGAGCAACTTCTAAAACATGATGCAGTGACACAGTTGTAGTTCAAATTAACTTCAACTTGACCGGCTACAACATTTACATGCTGCTTACATGTGAATGCCTCAGCAACAATAATCCAACATATAATAATGTAAATATATATATATATAACTCTAAAAAGAGCCATTCTACTCAATGAGTACTTTTACTTTTGTTGCTGATAATAAAATGTTGCTCATTCTGTACTTTAACTAAAGTAAAATTGAATATGCAAGAGGTTTACTTGTATCAGAGTATTTTTAAAGTATGGCATTGTTTATTTACTAAAGTAAAGGGTGAAAACAAGTTTCCACTGCTAATGAGTGAAACTAAATGTAAACAAAAAAGCAAACCCAACTGTAGGACTGCAGCCAACCAAAGCCTATCACCCTACTTAATGTATGCTTTTCATAATGATTTTATAATGACACATACAAGAAAACTCAAGTTTTACCTCGACTACCAACGACCCATCACCTTACTGTCCGCTGGTACAGACTAAATGTGAAACTGTGGGCCCTTTCAGCTCGAACAGACAGTGACACAGCGTGTCTTTCACCTCATTTGGGAAGTATTTAACCATGTACTCTCCTGGAATGCTGTTTTTGTGATAAAAGTGTAATGTTTCGTTATCTCCACTGGCGCCTGATATCTCGTTAGACATTGCGTTAGCCGCGCTAACTGAGCTAACTTAGCAAGAGCCGGGGTTGTTGACAGCCCGAAGCCGCTGGCAGCCATCGAGGACCTTTATCTCCATCCTTACCTGATCGATATGTACCCTGCAGCTCCCAGAAGCCTACATACAGACAGATCAAAATGCGTTCAAATTACAGAGTCCTAAACAGATCGCTTCAGTGGGCTGCGCCTACAGCATCTGCACACTTCCGCAATCAAAACAACTTCCGCCTGACGAGTCATCGCGTCAGCGTGAGCGTATCGATACGATATCAGTTACCGATTATTGATAGCTTCCGTAAATAGCCGCTCTGAGATCGTTTGTAGAGTCAGTGTCTTTATTTGTATTGTTTTTTTTTTGTGCTATAAATTCATACAAATATCTCATATTAGTAATATATATATTTTTTTATTGTTTATTTTGGATAGTTATTTGTAACATTTTATCGATAAGGAAAAAAAACATAAACTAAAACTAAATAAAGGTATGTACATAAGCAAAATTGAGATTTGTTTTATTTTATGTTGTGGTTTTGCTGTCATTTTAGTTATTTATTTATTCAGCTGTTGATTGTAGG